CAGTAAAACAACAGCAGGAAACAACAGTAAAAACAACAGTAGGAAACAACAGTAAAAACAACAGTAGGAAACAAGAGAAGGGAACGGCAGTAGGAAACAAGAACTAGAAGTAAAAGAGGGAAACAACAGCTAAAACAACAGTAGAAAACAGCAGCTAAAAGCAACAATAGGAAACAGTAGAAAACAACAGCAAAAACAACAGTAGGAAACAGCTAAAACAACAGTAGGAAACAACAGCAAGGACAGGAGTAGGAAACAACAGTAGGAAACAACAGTAAAAACAACAGCAGGAAACAACAGTAAAAACAACAGTAGGAAACAACAGTAAAAACAACAGTATTAAACAACAGTAAAAACAACAGTAGGAAACAAAGAAAACACAGTAGGAAACAACAGTAAAAACAGTAAACAACAGTAAAACAACATAGGAAACAAGAGAAGGGAACGACAGTAGGAAACAACAGCAAGAAGTAACAGGGGAAAACAACAGTAGAAACAACAATAGAAAACAGCAGCTAAAGCAAATCAGTAGGAAACAACAGTAAGAAAACAGCAGACAAAAACAACAGTAGGAAACAAGCAAATAACACAGAGTGAAACAACAGCAAAATCAGCAGTAGGAAACAACAGTAAAACTACAACAGTAAACAAGAGTGACAAAAACAGTAGAAAACAACAGCAAACAGTAGAAAACAGAGTGAAAACAAGGTATAATCGACAGTAGGAAACAACAGTTGGAAAAACAGTAAACAATGGAGTTGAAAAAAAGTAGTAAAATAGAAGATAGGAACAGGAAAAACAGTAAGAATAACATAGGAAAAATAGGAACAGACATTGGAACAACAGTAGATAAACAAGTAAATAATAGAAAACCAGTAAGAAAGAAACAGTAGGAAAACAGATGGAACATAAATAAGTAACTAGGAACCAAATAAGGTAAACCAGTAATTAAGAACCAAATAAGTAAGATAAACCAGTAACTAGGATGCAAATAAATAAGATAAACCACTAACTTGGAAGCAAATAAATAAGATAAACCACTAACTAGGAAGCAAATAAGATAAACCAGTAACTAGGAAGCAAATAAGATAAACTATTAACTATGGAACCAAATAAGTAAGATAAACCACTAACTAGGAAGCAAATAAGATAAACCACTAACTAGGAAGAAAATAAGATAAACGAATAACTAGGAAGCAAATAAGATAAACCAGTAACTAGGAAGCAAATAAGATAAACCAGTAATTAGGAAGCAAATAAGTAAGATAAACCACTAACTAGGAAGCAAATAAGATAAACCACTAACTAGGAAGCAAATAAGATAAACCACTAACTAGGAGGCAAATAAGATAAACCAGTAACTAGGAAGCAAATAAGATAAACCAGTAACTAGGAAGCAAATAAGATAAACCAGTAACTAGGAAGCAAATAAGATAAACCAGTAACTAGGAAGCAAATAAGATAAACTGTAGTTCTCAATGGAACGGAATCAGCAAGACATCCTATTGGGGCAAGTGTTCCACAAGGAAGCGTGCTGGGTCCATTGTTATGGAATGTCTACTTCAACGACCTTCTTCATCTCATCCCAGAATCACATGCATATGCAGACGACTGTACACTGACATTCACTTATCCAAGAGAAGAAATGCCAGCTACTCTAAGCTACATCAATCACCAGCTGAGAGCTATTTCAGCTTGGGGAAATGGTGGCAAGTAACATTTGCACCTTAGAAAACGCAAATGATGATCGTCTCTAGGCACCATGATAGTAATGCTGGTGCAGTAGTAAGGATGAATGGGAGGGTGTTGGCACCTGGAGAAGAAGTTGATATCCTTGGGGTGAAATTTGAGTTCAAACTAACCATGAAGAACCATGTTGTAAATCTTGCAAAGAAGGCAGCCAGGAAGCTTACAGCACTTCGCCGTATCTCGCATCTGCTTGACAGTAGGGGTTGCAAGATCCTGTACGAGGCACAAGTACGCTCACACCTTGAGTATGCTCCACTTTCTTGGTTTGCCTGCCCCACCCCCTCTCATCTGCGACTGCTTGACAGAGTAGAGCAAGACGTCTCATCTCTCGCCTGGACCCATCCTGGATAGATCTGTCATTTCAGCAGAGCCTTCAACGCAGGAGGGATGTGGGTGGCCTTACTGTTATGTACAAGGCCAATATTGTCAAAATACCACACCTGGATCCACTTCGAGGACAGCGTGAAACAAGCTTTTATGCCACAAGACGGGCAGAAAGCAGAAGCTTCACTCTGGCTGTACCCTTCTCCAGAACTTCACTCCATCTGAGATCCTATATACCCAGGATGACTCGAGTATGGAACACATTCGTACAGCATAATGATGTCAACGAGATAAAGTCAGTTGATCAAATGAAAATGCTGGCCCACAGATGGCTCCAACTTCATCCTGTTCCCTACTTGTATGTCTCATAACAATAAAAATGCTTTCAAATGAGCTGATGTAGGTAACAGCTCTTAGCTTGCCAATAAAGTTAGGAATCCTTAACCTGTAAATAGCTGCCAATAAAGCTAGGGATCCTTAACCTTGTCAAACCCTGTGTAAAAAAAAACTAGAAAGCAAATAAGATAAACCACTAACTAGGAAGCAAATAAGATAAGCCAGTAACTAGGAAGCAAATAAGATAAACCAGTAACTAGGAAGCAAATAAGATAAACCAGTAACTAGGAAGCAAATAAGATAAACCACTAACTAGGAAGCAAATAAGATAAACCACTAGGAAGCAAATAAGATAAACCACTAACTTGGAAGCAAATAAGATAAACCAGTAACTAGGAAGCAAATGAGATAAGCCAGTAACTAGAAAACAAATAAGATAAACCACTAACTAGGAAGCAAATAAGATAAACCACTAACTAGGAAGCAAATAAGATAAACCAGTAACTAGGAAGCAAATAAGATAAACCAGTAACTAGGAAGCAAATAAGATAAACCGGTAACTAGGAAGCAAATAAGATAAACCGGTAACTAGGAAGCAAATAAGATAAACCAGTAACTAGGAAGCAAATAAGATAAACCAGTAACTAGGAAGCAAATAAGATAAACCAGTAACTAGGAAGCAAATAAGATAAACCAGTAACTAGGAAGCAAATAAGATAAACCAGTAACTAGGAAGCAAATAAGATAAACCAGTAACTAGGAAGCAAATAAGATAAACCAGTAACTAGGAAGCAAATAAGATAAACCAGTAACTAGGAAGCAAATAAGATAAACCACTAACAAGGAAGCAAATAAGATAAACCAGTAACTAGGAAGCAAATAAGATAAACCAGTAACTAGGTAGCAAATAAGATAAACCAGTAACTAGGAAGCAAATAAGATAAACCAGTAACTAGGAAGCAAATAAGATAAACCACTAACTAGGAAGCAAATAAGATAAACCAGTAACTAGGAAGCAAATAAGATAAACCAGTAACTAGGTAGCAAATAAGATAAACCACTAACTAGGAAGCAAATAAGATAAACCAGTAACTAGGAAGCAAATAGGTATAATAAGAAATATAAGAGAAAGACAGAAAGTGAAAATTTCTATCTTTTTCTCCGTCATTTACAAAATCAGTTTTAGTATCAAAGTCAAAATTGATTATTTTTTATGATGATTGTCTTGAATATTTTTTTTTTCAGCTAGAAACTAAAATTACCTTTCCTGGCATCAAACCTGATAACTCTCCATTGTCTCCCCAGAGACACTTGTGCCCTGTTTGAGTCTGTTTATTCTGGGTATCTTTATTCTTACGGGTATCTTTATTCTTTAATAAAGATACCCGAATGTTACCCAAGTGTCTTATTTATCAAATTGTTGGTCTTGCTGATATTGTAAGCTTCTTACGGGGTGTCGATTATTGGTAAATGTTCGTGGTGTTTCTAGATTTGTATTTTAATGGATAATTTTGGGGATAATCTGGTTATTTTTTAAAGGAAATTAATTTTGCAGTATTCCAGTGACGTCGTAAATTGTCTGGCAACAAGAGGAGGAGAAGATTGAACTGTTCTCGACGAGTCATGTACTAGAACTCTGAGTTAGAGAAACCACGAGGAGAACGTCATGTTACTAAGGTAACAAGGGGAAGCAACTTGACTAGAAGGTACAGGATACCATGACAATACCTCGCCATCCTAGAAGAACAAGGGAAGTAAACTACTTGACTAGAAGGTACGGTATATCAAGGCAATACCTCGCCATCCTAGAAGAACAGAGGGAGCAAGCAACTTAACTAGAAGGTACAGGATACCAAGACAATACCTCACCACTCTAGAAGAACAGGGAAAGCAAGCAACATATCTAGAAGGTACATGATACCAAGACAATACCTCACCACTCTAGAAGAACAGGGAAAGCAAGCAACATATCTAGAAGGTACATGATACCACATAGAGGACACAGACGCCAGCCACAACAAACACTACCAGAATGGGTCGTCACAGACGCAAGATAAAAACACATATAACCTGTACAAAGGAAAAACAGTGTTTATTCAGCGTCAAGACAGAACACAAGTGTAATACACTAAAGAAACCTATAGAATACACAGAAGAAATCATTATTAATATTATTATCGTATTCTCGGGAAGTATTAAGCTTGTGGTATAGTACTTGTGGAATGGTACTTGTGGATTGGTACTTGTGGATTGGTACTTGTGGATTGGTACTTGTGGATTGGTACTTGTGGATTGGTACTTGTGGATTGGTACTTTTGGAATGGTATTTAATTAAATTTAATGATGGAAAGGGCGAGTATATATTGTTCATAGATAATATTTAGAGTGTGAGTAGGTGTTAGTTGCCCCAACCCCTGACTGTTTACCCTCAGTGTCGCAAGATGGTCACAACTCTTGGCTGCAACGTCCCTGGTTTGCCAGCAAACTAATTACCTACGTTAGCTTGTTTCATTAATATCCTTTCTTACCATCTTCATCATCATCGTCGTCATCATCATCATCATCATCATCGTCGTCGTCGTCATCATCACTGTCCTCATCGTCATCATCATCATCATCATCGTAGTCGGAAGCATCAGAAACTGACGGTGAGGTTACAGGTGTTACGTCTACGAGAAAGTCGGTGGTCGGGGTGGTGCCCTTGCCCATAGCAGTGGGTACAGTGCCTGTTGGCATCGTGAGGTTGGTAGTAGCTGTTGGTATCGTGAGGGTGGTATTGGCTGTGGGTATCGTGAGGGTAGTCGTGGCTGTGGGTATCGTGAGGGTAGTCGTGGCTGCAGACTCGGCTTCAGGGGTCAGTGAACCCTTGTAAGTGTTTCTCTGTAGATCTGGACTGTTATTGACATTTGTGTCTGATTTGCTGGCTTTAAGACGGTCGTAACCTCGCTTACTGGAGCGACTTGAATCTGTGAAGGAAAGAGTTTAGTCACTTGAAGCTGCATTTAACCTCAAGCTAATGGAAATAAATGGTATAAAATACCGACACAATGGAAATATAAACACATATGCAGTATAATGTGATCCTTTATTGACTACGTTTCGCCCACACAGTGGGCTTTTTCAAGTCACAAACAGTTCTACGTGGGGTGGAAGGGACGCGAGTATTTATAGTCAGGTTCAGAATGCTGAGGTCAGGTGGAGAATGCTGCATCTGATGATGTACCGAATCTAAAATCTTGGGTAGCTTGGAAAGGAGGTTGGATAAGTTTGTGAGCAGACCTTCTACAGTGTTCTTCCATTCCTGTGTTCTTATGTGGGATAGCGATGAAGAAGTTTCTTGGCAAGTGGTTCAGCTATGTTATAGAAGCCACTATTCTGGTTGAAGTTGTCGGATATAGAAATAAGTGATGATTCCAGGATTCTTCGGTATTGAGTGTTGTTTTCCAACCTCTAGCTAAGCTGACTAGGATTCGCCAGGAAACAGGACAAGTGTTTCCTGACGTGGGTCGTAGTTATACGACGACCTGCCACTGGAACTTTTGGTCATCTGACCAAGACCTTCCACTGGCTTGCTCATCCACCACTTAAAAATTAATTTTTTTAGTAAACTGTAGCTCGATTGCAAGAGTACTCAGCTCACACTGAGGTCCGGGGGTCGATCCCTGGTACGGGTAGAAACACTAGGACGTGTTTCCTTAAGACCCTGGTGTCCATGTTCACTTATCAGTAAAATAGGTACCTGAGTGTTAGTGCACTGGTGTGGGTGGCATCCTGGGACAAAATGGACCTAATTTGATTATTATTATTATTAGCATTATTACAGCGGATCATCCTCTCCAGGGACAATTAACCCAAACCCCAGATGTTTCGCTCCAAATAGTGTTTCCCCACATGTGACGGTAAAGACTTTAAGGGATTCTTAGACAGTTTCTGGTCCCTCATAGACAGAGGGACAGACATAAATATTTGACTAAGTTCAATTATCTGAAAACTCAACTTGAGAGGAAGCTTACGACCTTGTCAGAGCACTTGATATAACTAGTGATAATTATAAGCAAGTTATTCCAGTCCTGGAGTCTAATGTTCATGATAATCATCGACTTACAGCCGAACATGCCAATAGGCTAGTTGATCTTCCGTCCCACCACTGCTTGCAAGAATAGAAAGTGTTCAGGATAACTTCAGATAAAGGCCACATATCTGTGTCCCCTTATGTAGATATCACAGTAAGTGACTGGGTATTCGGCCCAATCAGAGTAAATTACCACAGAAGACTATTGAACACCTGAACCTAAATTCTGGGAAATGGTTGACATGTAATGAGATCAATGAAGAGTTGAAATATATTATCTTACATACGAGCTAATTCTTGCAATGTTAAATCCCCACCTGATGGACTTGAAGCCCTGTCTTATGTGTCTCTGCCACCACCCTGGATGCCCCGCCGACCCCAGATACTTAAGAGACACGTCTTCTAGTAATATGTTCATTTTTCCACTGAAATCTACCTTGTTCATAATTAATATCGCATTTGCTTTGTCTGTTTCGTAAGGTGAAGTCCAGGATCTTTGCTCAGACCTCTACAAATCTCGGACCTTAGCGTGTTAGGTGAGCGCTGGCAATTGAACTACCGGTCAGTAGTTATTACGGAGTTCGACCAAGGAACTCAGAGATCCTTTATCCGTAAGAGCGCATTATCTCAGTTGAGAGAGATATCCCATAGCAAGGTACCTCATAAACCACGGTACGGGCGGGGATTGAACCCGCGGTGACTGAGCCGTTAAACTCCAGAACGTCGCGTTAGCCACTGGGCCAGCTGGATACAATAAGATTCATCCAACTAGGTATATTTATACACCATAGGAAGGTTAGCATAGGCCACTACTGTGACCATAGTGGCGAACGCGTCGGTCTGGGGTTTTACGACTCACCGCGGGTTGAAGCCCCGCCCGTACCATGGTTTAATAATAAGAATCTTTATATCTGCATGTACAAGGTATACAGACCATAGCTGACATAAATGACATACTACTATATAGAAAGCCCCTTGTTATGTAGAGCATTTCGGGCAAATTAAGTCAGTTTTGTCCCAGGATGCGACCCACACCAATCAAAAATAGGTATGTTGATAAATTAGACACATGTGCAACTCTTGGGTATCTTTATTGAGGAAACGTTCGCCACACAGTGGCTTCATCAGTCCATACGTAGGAGAAACTTGAAGAACAGGAGAAGAATGAGGTAATCAGTCCCTCAACCTTGAGTCGATGTGTTCAGTCCATCTATTAAGATGATGGACTGAACACATCGACTCAAGGTTGAGGGACTGATTACCTCATTCTCCTCCTGTTCTTCAAGTTTCTCCTACGTATGGACTGATGAAGCCACTGTGTGGCGAAACGTTTCCTCAATAAAGATACCCAAGAGTTGCACATGTGTCTAATTTATCAACATGTCGGTTCTCTGAACCATTCATCTACAAAAATAGGTATCTTAAGGAAATACGTCCTAATTAATTTTAACCCGTTCCGGGGATCGAACCACGGACATCAGCGTGTGAGACGAGTGCGCTACCAATCGGCTACAGGACATCGTTCACAACATTAACAAAGTTAATACTCAATAACTGTTATAACATGCAAAAATGTTTATCATATTAGTGGAAATCTCTTGGTAAATGTTGATCTGGTTCCGTGAACTATTGAACAAGTGAACTATTGAACAAGTGAACTATTGAACAAGTGAACTATTGAACAAGTGAACTATTGAACAAGTGAACTATTGAACAAGTGAACTATTAAATAAAGACAAGTGAACTATTGAAGAACAAGTGAACTATTGAACAAGTGAACTACTGAACAAGTGAACTATTGAACAAGTGAACTATTGAACAAGTGAACTATTGAACAAGTGAACTATTGAACAAGTGAACTATTGAACAAGTAACTATTGAACAAGTGAACTATTGAACAAGTGAACTATGAACAAGTGAACTATTGAACAAGTGAACTATTGAACAAGTGAACTATTGAACAAGTGAACTATTGAACAAGTGAACTATTGAACAAGTGAACTATTGAACAAGTGAACTATTGAACAAGTGAACTATTGAACAAGTGAACTATTAAACAAGTGAACTATTGAACAAGTGAACTATTGAACAAGTGAACTATTGAACAAGTGAACTATTGAACAAGTGAACTATTGAACAAGTGAACTACTGAACAAGTGAACTATTGAACAAGTGAACTATTGAACAAGTAAACTATTGAACAAGTGAACTATTGAACAAGTGAACTATTGAACAGTGAACTATTGAACAAGTGAACTATTGAACAAGTGAACTACTGAACAAGTGAACTATTGAACAAGTGAACTATTGAACAAGTGAACTATTGAACAAGTGAACTATTGAACAAGTGAACTATTGAACAAGTGAACTATTGAACAAGTGAACTATTGAACAAGTGAACTATGAACAAGTGAACTATTGAACAAGTGAACTATTGAACAAGTGAACTATTGAACAAGTGAACTATTGAACAAGTGAACTATTGAACAAGTGAACTATTGAACAAGTGAACTATTGAACAAGTGAACTATTGAACAAGTGAAACTATTGAACAAGTGAACTATTGAACAAGTGAACTATTGAACAAGTGAACTATTGAACAAGTGAACTACTGAACAAGTGAACTATTGAACAAGTGAACTATTGAACAAGTAAACTATTGAACAAGTGAACTATTGAACAAGTGAACTATTGAACAAGTGAACTATTGAACAAGTGAACTATTGAACAAGTGAACTATGAACAAGTGAACTATTGAACAAGTGAACTATTGAACAAGTGAACTATTGAACAATTGAACTATTGAACAAGTGAACTATTGAACAAGTGAACTATTGAACAAGTGAACTATTGAACAAGTGAACTATTGAACAAGTGAACTATTAAACAAGTGAACTATTGAACAAGTGAACTATTGAACAAGTGAACTATTGAACAAGTGAACTATTGAACAAGTGAACTATTGAACAAGTGAACTATGAACAAGTGAACTATTGAACAAGTAAACTATTGAACAAGTAAACTATTGAACAAGTGAACTATTGAACAAGTGAACTATTGAACAAGTGAACTATTGAACAAGTGAACTATTGAACAAGTGAACTATTGAACAAGTGAACTATTGAACAAGTGAACTATTGAACAAGTGAACTATTGAACAATGAACTATTGAACAAGTGAACTATTGAACAAGTGAACTATTGAACAAGTGAACTATTGAACAAGTGAACTATTGAACAAGTGAACTATTGAACAAGTGAACTATTGAACAAGTGAACTATTGAACAAGTGAACTATTGAACAAGTGAACTATTGAACAAGTGAACTATTGAACAAGTGAACTATTAAACAAGTGAACTATTGAACAAGTGAACTATTGAACAAGTGAACTATTGAACAAGTGAACTATTGAACAAGTGAACTATTGAACAAGTGAACTACTGAACAAGTGAACTATTGAACAAGTGAACTATTGAACAAGTAAACTATTGAACAAGTGAACTATTGAACAAGTGAACTATTGAACAAGTGAACTATTGAACAAGTGAACTATTGAACAAGTGAACTACTGAACAAGTGAACTATTGAACAAGTGAACTATTGAACAAGTGAACTATTGAACAATTGAACTATTGAACAAGTGAACTATTGAACAAGTGAACTATTGAACAAGTGAACTATTGAACAAGTGAACTATTAACAAGTGAACTATTGAACAAGTGAACTATTGAACAAGTGAACTATTGAACAAGTGAACTATTGAACAAGTGAACTATTGAACAATGAACTATGAACAAGTGAACTATTGAACAAGTGAACTATTGAACAAGTGAAACTATTGAACAAGTGAACTATTGAACAAGTGAACTATTGAACAAGTGACTATGAACAATGAACTATTGAACAGTGAACATACAAGTGAACTATTGAAACAAGTGAACTATTGAACAAGTGAACTATTGAACAAATTGAAACTATTGAACAAGTGAACTATTGAAACAAGTGAACTATTAACAAGTGAACTATTGAACAAGTGAACTTGAACAAGTGAACTATTGAACAAGTGAACTATTGAAAGTGACTATTGACAAGTGAACTATTGAACAAGTGAATATTGGACATGTGAACTATAGAACAAGTGAAACTATGACAGTGAACTATTGAAAGTGATATTATTGAACAGTGAATATTGAACAATGAACTATTTAACATGAACTATTGAACAATGAACTATGAAACAAGTGAACTTTGAACAGTGAACTATTGAACAAGTGAACTATTTGACAAGTGAACTATAACGAAGACAGGCCGTGAGAGGAAATGCAAGAGCTGAATAAGAACGACTTAAGTGAAGGTAAGAGAAGAACAATGAGTTGGCAGTATAGAAAGTAAGCGAGTGGCAGTAGGGAAATGGATCCTTAGCATGGTTAAGAGGAGCAGCCGTGAAACGTCAAGTTTGTAACATGACGCTCGTGACAGTAGAAGAGAGTTATGGACATGAGGATTTACAATGTTCTGAGGATGTGTTTGATACTGCAAAAGGATATTACAGTGTTTTTATTTTTTTATATCTGGGTGTTGCAATGTCGTATCAGGTCTAATGTGAAAATCCATGAATCATGCCTCGGTATACGACTGTGCTGCTGAAGCCGCCACCGTCTTTATCTCTTGTGTGTGTTGGTGTGTGTGTGTGTGTGTGTGTGTGTGTGTGTGTGTGTGTGTGTGTGTGAGTGAGTGTACTCACCTAATTGTACTCACCTAGTTGCGGTTGCAGGGGTCGATTCATAGTTCCTGGCCCCGCCTCTTCGCTGGTCGCTACTGGATCACTCACTCTGAACCATGAGCTTTATCATACCTCTGCTTAAACCTATGTATGGATCCTATGTATGTGTGTGTGTGTGTGTACTCACCTAATTGTGGTTGCAGGGTTCGATTCATAGCTCCTGGCCCCACCTCTTCGCTGGTCGCTACTAGGTAAATTCTTTCCTGTTCCATGAGCTTTATCGTGTGTGTGTGTGTGTGTGTGTGTGTGTGTGTGTGTGTGTGTGTGTGTGTGTGTGTGTGTGTGTGGGCTAACCAATTTGTACTGTCTTATTTGTGTATGCAGGGGTCGAGTCTCGGCTCCAGGCCCTCTCCTCTCAACACCCAAGTTTCCTCTGCTGACTGTGCGAACTCTTTTAAGTTTCTTAAAAACCATACATTGATCCTGCCTCTATCACTTAATTTCTAGGCCCTTCACGCTTCCTGACCACTCTAAGGCTAAAGAAGTAATTCCTAACATACCTCTCTGATTTTTTTTTAGCTCCAGTTGTGATCTCGTGTACCTGATTCTTGCTTCTCAATACTCTCCCTGAAACTCTGCCATTTCCTGTCAGTATTTCGCATGTCGTAATCATATCATTGCTGATCTACTGACTTTACTCATCGTTAATACACCATAGCTCCAGGACATTTCATTGCAAACTAATACTTCATTACTTGAGGGTTCCATACTGGAGCTGCATGCTCGAAGATGACTCCTTGTTAAGATTCCTGAAAGCTATTCTTAAATTATACAGTCCCTCATTTGCCACGGCGATTATTGGGTTCATGTAAGACTCAAATGATATTCTCAACCATTTGATCACCTCCAAGTTGACTGTCACTCGTAGATGTTTGCAACCTTTCTCTCACGAGTCTGTACTCTGTTTCCAGTCATTTCTGCCCTTCCCTGATATATATAACTTTGCAGTTGTTGTGGTTAAATTCTAATATCTATTTCTGAGACCATTTCTACAACTTACTGAGGTTTATTAGTAGATTTCATGATGTGCTTCCACTTACATTCTTAATTATTTCACATCATATGTGACTAGGGATAAATTTGACTCAGCTTCATATCTGAAGTCGTTTATGTGTACAAGAAACAGAAGAGGTCCTAGTACTAACACTTGTGGGACCCCACTCACCACTCGTGTGTTTTCCGACATCTTCTGTCAAGCAACAACTCGTTGTTTCCTTCCTGTTAATTATTCTCTGATCTGTTATAGTGATTCCCTGTAATTCCTGCTCGGTCTTCTATATTTTGCCTTGTATTGCAAAAGATATGCAAAGCACTCCTCTCTCTGTCTCTCTCTGTCTCTCTCTGTCTCTCTCTGTCTCTCTCTGTCTCTCTCTGTCTCTCTCTGCTCTCTCTCTCTCTCTCTCTCTCTCTCTCTCTCTCTCTTGCATAATTTTAATTATCTTGTTACCTACCGTCTCTAAATCCGTGCAGGCTGTTGATCATGAACCTCCTCCACTCAGGGTAAACCCTGAGTGGAGGATCCCTGAATTTTTCAGAGATCTGAGTACAACACAATTGTCCTGATAGATTTGTTAAGTTGTACCATGAATTAAGGAAAGATCCTGGACTTCACCTTACGAAAGCAGACAAAGCAAATGAGATAGTAATTATGGACACGGTAGATTACAGGGGATATGAAAATATTAGAAAACAGGGGAAATGACGTATGTGGAGGAGAGTGAGTTCAGAATGGTGCTGCAGCTGTGACTGGTGACACAGTGTTCAATGTATTGTGTTGAGGTGTGACTGGGAACAGTAGCTACGTACGGAATGTTTATCCAGATTTTTTTTCAGTATTTATGTGGCCTCCTCAGGGTCAGAAATGTGTTTGTTATTGTCAGTGGTGTGTTGTGTTTGGTGTTCCAGTGATATTTCGGATGAATAACCAGAATTTCTAGAGATTCCTAATACGTTGTGTTTTTGAGATGTGTACGAGATATAGCCAGTGGCTCTTGTGGTCATCCAGGCTGCAGATGATATGGTGTTGTGTAATTACAAACACACCCATATACTGTGAGGTGACAGTATCAAAAAAGCTTTGACCCGACAAAATAGTGCTTTTGGGCACTTTTTTATCATTAGTTTATGTAACAATAGTATATATATATATATATATATATATATATATATTATATATATATATATATATATTATATATATATATATATATATATATATATATATATATATATATATATATATATCATTGACTTACTTGATAAGAGGGAGCGAGTGGTTACAGAATACTCGACACTGTCCACTACCATGGCTCTCTGCAGCGATGCCGGCACCTGTAATGAGAAAGTCCATATGAGTGGTTTTGTGTGTGTGTGTGGTGTGTTGTGTTGTGTGTGTGTGTGTGTGTGTGTGTGTGTGTGTGTGTGTGTGTTTGTGTGTTTATGTACAGCTTCTAGCCTACTTTATGGTTGCTTCTGTGATTCATTTGAGGTGAGGAAATATTCCTAACATCCCTGTGATAGTGTGGTTTTGATTTTGAGATGTGACCCCTGAGAACCTGTTTCCCGCTCTTAAACAATCTGTTCCTTTACACCCTGTCAGTTCTTGTGTGATGTGTGTGTGTGTCTATTGTTGGTTGTCGTGTGTGTGTGTGCTGTGTGTGTGTGTGTGTGTTGTGTGTGTGTGTGTGTGTATTCAATTTTTATGTAGTACTGTGTTTACTTCCTCTTTGCCTAATAGGTTCTATCGTACCTGCTCTTGAAACTCTGTGTGGAGTTGCCTTTACCACTCTCTCACCAAGATCATTCTACTTCCCAACCGCTCTGAGGCTGAAGAAATAGTACCTAACATAACTATAGTTCATTTAAGCCTTTCACTTAGAACTGTGTCCCCGGGTTTCCGTTTCTCAGATAGCCCTGCCTTGTCTACTTCATCAATTCCCATAAGTATCTTGTATGTTGTAATCATGTCCCCCTGGTTCTTCTGACCTCCAGTGTAATTAGGTTCAATTCCGTTAGTCTCTCCTCGTAGTGCTGGGAAGCAAGTCTTGTTGCGTACCTTTACAGTTTCTCGATCGCGGTGGATCAGGACATGATCAACCAGGCTGTTGCTGCTGGCCACACGTAGACTGACGTAGGAAGCACAGCCAGGCTGGTCAGGTACTGACTTTAGGTGCTTGTCCAGTGCCAGCTTGAAGATAGCCAGGGGTCTATTGGCAATCCCCCTTATGTATGCTGGGAGGCAGTTGAACAGTCTTGGGCCCCTGATACTTATTGTGTTGTCTCTCAGTGTACTCGTGGCGCCCCTGCTTTTCACTGGGGGGGATGTTGCATCTCCTGCCGAGTCTTTTGCTTTCGGAGGGAGTGATTTTCGTGTGTAGATTTGGGACTAGTCCCTCTAGGATTTTCAAAGTGTATATTATCATGTATCTTTATCGCCTGCGTTCCAGGGAGTACACATCAAAGGACTTCAATCGGTGTTCCCAAATCTGATTTGGTAACAGTGATGTCTCAAGGCCGAATTTCCTTTCGAGATAAACTATGACTGTATAAATGATGTCGTGATGTCCTATGTCGTGATGTCCTATGTCATGATGTCTCCATGTCCAAAGTCTTTATGTTCTGTCATAGTTTACTCGCCAGAATTGTGTCCCACACTGCCTCGTGCGATTCCTCGGTAGTGTCCTGGGTGCGTTCTCGTGTCCTGGGTGCATCCTCGTGTCCTGGGTGCGTCCTCGTGTCCTCGGCCTCTTGAAACAAACCAGGTGCAGCAGGTGAGAGTGCTTCTCCTGGCTTCCTCGAAGTAGAAGTAGCCGGAGCTTATATTCTGGAGGTTAAAGTGAGGTGTAGCAGCTGGAGACAGCATCACAGATACAGGGGCCCCTCTAGCCAACTTGCCGTTCCAAGCTTGACAGGTCTTAATTATATCTAACTTATCTCACACACATAAGAACACACAAGCAAGTTTAATAATAATGTTGTAGACAATTTCTGTAGTAAGAAATGTACCAAACAAAATTATTTTTAATGATAATAAAACATACCTGTATCATTCACGTATCTTCATTGGCGACACTTTTCGTCTTCTCAGCAGGCTTCTTCAGTTGACTGCAGTGGTAACTTATGCATCAATAACCTAAGTTAGGTAAGGTTCGTCAGGAAACAGGACAAGTGTTTCCTGACGCGGGTTTTAGACATATGATGACCTCCAGCTGGAGCTTTTGGTCATCTGATCGAGGCCTTCCACTGGCTTACCCCTCCATCGGTTTAAAAATTAATATATAAGGTGAGTGGAACCCTGAGGATGACGTCTGCACTAACACCAACACTAAGGGACAGACCCCCAACAAATTTCTGAAACTCTCTCCTTCAAGACATCAAAATATTGTACCAGTGTTGTGTTAAACATTGAGACTAGCCAAGGATTCGAACCCATGTTGCTTTAGCCCGCCTCATGGTGAGAAAAAAACAACATGACGCTCTAATCCACAGGACCACCAAATCATACAAGAATGATGCACCCAGTAGAGCTAAGTGTTTTACCATCATCCGAGGAAATACGGTGGTGCTGGGTGCGTCAGTCTTGTAGGATTTGGAGGTCCTGTGGGTTACAACGTCATGTGAATCTAGCTTAATATAAGGCGGGCCAAAACAACATGGGTTTGAATCCTTGGCTAGTCGCAGCGTTGTTACTGATCAATACCACGCGTTCGTGATCACAATTATATATATATATATATATATATATATATATATATATATATATATATAAAATATATATATATATATATATATATATATATATATATATATATACATATATATATATAGTAGCGCTAAACTCGTATGGGTAAATCAGGGAATGAGAAGTGAATGGTAATTAAGATCCCTTGAGTGTAATCAAGGCGCCTCAGATGAGGGTTAGAAGTTGAGAAATTTGAAACACTGAGACGAGATCATTCAACTTCTTGAACCAATATTAAAAGATAATTATAGTCCCTAGATAAAAGATTGGGAAGCTGTCGTCGGTGGGGTGGTAGTGGTGGTAGTGGTGGTAGTGGTGGTAGTGGTGGTGGTGGTAGTGGTGGTAGTGGTGGTTGTGGTGGTAGTGGTGGTTTGTGGTTGGTTAGTGGTGGTAGTGGTGGTAGTGGTGGTAGTGGTGGTAGTGGTGGTAGTGGTGGTAGTGGTCGTGGTGGTGGTAGTGGTGGTAGTGGTGGTAGTGGTGGTAGTGGTGGTAGTGGTGGTAGTGGTCGTGGTGGTGGTAGTGGTGGTGGTGGTGGTAGTGGTGGTAGTGGTCGTTTGGGGGTGGTTGGTGGTAGTGGTGGTTAGTGGTGGTAGTGGTGGTAGTGGTCGTGGTGGTGGTAGTGGTGGTAGTGGTGGTAGTGGTGGTAGTGGTGGTAGTGGTCGTGGTGGTGGTAGTGGTGGTGGTGGTGGTAGTGGTGGTTAGTGGTGGTGGTGGTGGTAGTGGTGGTTAGTGTTGGTAGTGGTGGTAGTGGTGGTAGTGGTGGTAGTGGTCGTGGTGGTGGTAGTGGTGGTGGTGGTGGTAGTGGTGGTAGTGGTGGTAGTGGTGGTAGTGGTGGTAGTGGTCGTGGTGGTGGTGGTAGTGGTGGTAGTGGTGGTAGTGGTGGTAGTGGTCGTGGTGGTGGTAGTGGTGGTGGTGGTGGTAGTGGTCGTGGTGGTGGTTTGTGGTGGTTTGGGGGTGGTAGTGGTGGTAGTGGGGGTAGTGGTGGTAGTGGTGGTAGTGGTTGGGAGTGGTTTGGGGGTAGTGGTGGTGGTGGTGGTAGTGGTGGTAGTGGTCGTGGTTGGTGGTAGTGGTGGTAGTGGTGGTAGTGGTGGTTAGTGGTGGTAAATGGTGGTAGTGGTGGTAGTGTTGTGGTGGTGGTAGTGGTGGTGGTGGTGGTAGTGGTGGTAGTGGTCGTGGTGGTGGTAGTGGTGGTAGTGGTGGTAGTGTGGGTGGTGGTAGTGGTGGTGGTGGTGGTGGTGGTGGTAGTGGTGTGTGGTGGTAGTGGTTTGTAGTGGGTGGTGGGTGGTGTGTGGTAGTGGTGGTAGTGGTGGTAGTGGTAGTGGTGGTAGGGGGTGGTGGTAGGGGGTTTGGGAGTGGTGGTGGTGGGTATGTGGTGGTGGTGGTGGTGGTGGGTTGTCGTGGTGGTTTGGGAGTGGTGGTAGTGGTGGTAGGTGGTGGTGGTGGTGGTGGTTAGTGGTGGTAGTGGTGGGTAGGGGTGGTGGTAGTGGTGGTGGGTGGTGGTGGTAGTGGTGTAGTGGTGGTGGTGTGGTGGGTGGTAGTGGTGGTGGTGGTAGTGGTGGTGGGTAGTGGGTGGTGGTGGTGGTAGTGGTGGTGGTGGTGTTGGTGGTGGTGTGTGGTGGAGTGGTGGTAGTGGTGGGTGGTGGTGGTTATGGTGGTGGTAGTTGGTGGTGGTGTGGTGGTTAGTGGTTATGGTGGATGGTGGTGGTAGTGGTAGTAGTGGTGGTGGGTGGTGGTGGTGGTGGTGGTGTGGTGGTGGTAGTGGTGGTGGTGGTTGGTGGTAGTGGTGGTAGTGGTGGTTTGAGTTTGGTGGTTGGGTGGTGGGTGGTGTGGTGGTAGTGGTGGTGGTGGTTGTGGTGGTGGTGGTTTGGGAGTGGTTGGTGGTGGTTTGGTGGTGGTGGTGGGTGGTGTGTGGTAGTGGTGGGAGTGGTGGGTAGTGGTGGTGGTGGTGTGTGGTGGTAGTGGTGGTGGTGGTAGTGGTGGTGGTGGTGGTGGTAGGGGGTGGTGGTGGGTGGTAGGGGGTGGTGGTGGTTTGGTGGGGGTGTGGTGGTAGTGGTGGGGTGTGGTGGTGGTGGTGGTGGTGGTGGTGGTAGTGGTGGTGTGGTGTGGTGGTAGTTGGTGGTTGGTGGTAGGTGGTAGTGGTGTGGTTGGTAGTGGTGTGGTGGTGGTAGTGGTGGTGGTAGTGGTGGTGGTGGTGGTGGTAGTGTGTGGTGGTGGTGGTGGTAGTGGTGGTGTGGTAGTGGTAGTAGTGGTGGTGGTAGTGGTAGGTGGTAGTTGTGGTGGTGGTAGTAGTGGTAGTAGTGGTGGTGGTAGTAGTGGTGGTGGTGGTAATAGTGGTGGTGGTACTGGTGGTGGTAGTAGTGGTAGTAGTGGTGGTAGTAGTAGTGGTGGTGGTAGTAGTGGTAGTGGTGGTGGTAGTAGTGGTAGTAGTGGTTGTGGTGGTGGTGGTGGTGGTTAGTGGTGGTGGTGGTGGTGGTGGTAGTGGTAATGGTGGTGATTGTGATGGTAGTAGTAGTTGTGGTGGTAGTGGTGGTGGTGGTAGTGGTGGTGGTGGTAGTGGTGGTGGTGGTACTGGTGGTGGTAGTAGTGGTAGTAGTGGTGGTTTGTAGTAGTGGTGGTGGTAGTAGTGGTAGTGGTGGTGGTAGTAGTGGTAGTAGTGGTTGTGGTGGTGGTGGTGGTGGTGGTGGTAGTGGTGGTGGTAGTGGTGGTGGTAGTGGTGGTGGTAGTAGTAGTGGTGGTAGTAGTGGTAGTAGTGGTGGTAGTAGTGGTGGTGGTAGTAGTGGTGGTAGTAGTGGTGGTAGTAGTGGGTAGTAGTGGTGGTAGTAGTAGTGGTGGTGGTTGGTAGTAGTGGTGGTAGTAGTGGTAGTAGTGGTGGTGGTAGTAGTGGTGGTAGTGGTGGTGGTAGTAGTGGTAGTAGTGGTGGTGGTAGTGGTGGTGGTTGTGGTGGTAGTAGTGGTGGTAGTAGTGGTGGTGTTGGTAGTGGGGGTAGTGGTGGTAGTGGTGGTGGTAGTTGTGGTGGTGGTGGGTGGTAGTAGTGGTGGTAGTAGTAGTGGTAGTAGTGGTGGTGGTGGTAATAGTGGTGGTGGTACTGGTGGTGGTAGTAGTGGTAGTAGTGGTGGTAGTAGTAGTAGTGGTGGTGGGTAGTAGTGGTAGTGGTGGTGGTAGTAGTGGTAGTAGTGGTGGTGGTAGTGGTGGTGGTAGATGGTGGTGGTAGTAGTGGTAGTAGTGGTGGTGGTAGTGGTTGTGGTGGTGGTGGTAGTAGTGGTGGTAGTGGTGGTGGTAGTGGTGGTGGTAGTGGTGGTGGTAGATGGTGGTGGTAGTAGTGGTAGTAGTGGTGGTGGTAGTAGTGGTAGTGGTGGTGGTTTGTAGTGGTGGTAGTGGTGGTGGTAGTAGTGGTGGTAGATGGTGGTGGTAGTAGTGGTAGTAGTGGTGGTGGTAGTAGTGGTAGTGGTGGTGATAGTAGTGGTGGTGGTGGTGGTGGTGGTAGTAGTGGTAGTGGTGGTGGTAGTAGTGGTGGTGGTGGTGGTGGTGGTAGTAGTGGTGGTAGTAGTGGTGGTAGTAGTGGTGGTGGTGATAGTAGGCTTTCTAAACCTTGCTAAACCATGAATATTCCTGGTCTTTGACTCTAGTTTGTCCTATATAAACCTCGTCTCCTCGTTATATAAACCTCGGTAGTGACTGAGGATATCGAGAGGATTTATAGACCACAGTACGGAGAGGAATCGAACTCGCGGCAAATGAGTCGCAAAACTCCAGCCCCGCCACTGTACCAGTTTTATGTTGTTTATTAACACACTGGCCGTCTCCCACCAAGGCAGGGTGGCTCGAAAAAGAAAAACTTTCACCATCATTCACTCCATCACTGTCTTGCCAGAAGGGTGCTTTATACTACAGTTATGAACGCATGCCAATCCTAATTAACACCCGTCCTTCACGAGTGTAGAACTGTACTTCTCACCTTCAAGGACTCCTTCAGAGTGCAGACAACTTGTACTTCTCCCTCCAGGACTTATTCAGAGTGGCATTCACTGTACTTTCACCTCCAGAGACTCCTTCAGAGTGAGGACACTGTACTTCTCACATCCAGACTCCTTCAGAGTGCAGACACTGTACTTCTCACCTCCAGGACTCCTTCAGAGTGCAGACACTGTACTTCTCACCTCCAGGACTCCTTCAGAGTGCAGGCACTGTACTTCTCACCTTCAGGACTCCTTCAGAGTGCAGGCACTGTACTTCTCACCCTCCAGGCTCCTTCAGAGTTGCAGCACATGTAATTCTCACACTCCAGTGACCTCCTTCAGAGTGCAGACACTGTACTTCTCACCTCCAGGACTCCTTCAGAGTGCAGACACTGTACTTCTCACCTCAGGACTCCTTCAGAGTGCAGACACTGAAACTTCTCACCTCCGGGACTCCTTCAGGAGTGAAGGCATGTTTTTTTTTTTTTTAAACTTCTCAACCTCCCAGGACTACTTCAGAGTGCAGGCACTGTAATTCTCACCTCCAGGAACTCCTTAGAGTGCAGGCACGGTATTCTACCTCCAGGACTCCCGTCAAGAGAGTGCGGGCACTGTACTTCCCACATCCAGGACTCTTCAGAGTGCAGACATCTGTATTCTCACCTCCAGGACTCCTTCAGAGTGCAGACACAGTGACTCTCACCTCCCAGGCTCCTTCAGAGTGCAGGCACGTGTACTTTCTCACCTCCATGACTCCTTCAGAGTGCAGACCCACTGTACTTTCACCTCCATGGGACTCCTTCAGAGGTGGCAGACCACTGAACTGCCTCAACCTTCAGGACTCATTCAGAGTGACTGACATCTGTACTTCTCACCTTCAGGCTCCTTCAGAGTGCAGACACTGTACTCATTCACCGTCTGGACTCCTTCAGGTGCAGAAGGACCCACTCTGTACTTCTCACCTTCAGGACTCCTTCAGAGTGCAGACACTGTACTTCTCACCTTCAGGACTCCTTCAGAGTGCAGACACTGTACTTCTCTCTTCAGGGACTCCTTCAGAGTGCAGAACACTGTAATTCTCACCTTCAGGACTCCTTCAGAGTGTCAGGCACGCTGTACTGCTCACCTTCAGGATACTCTTCAGAGTGCAGGACCTGTACTTCTCACCTTCAGGACTCCTTCAGAGTGCAGGCACTGTACTTCTCACCTTCAGGACTCCTTCAGAGTGCAGACACTGTACTTCTCACCTTCAGGACTCCTTCAGAGTGCAGACACTGTACTTCTCACCTCCAGGACTCCTTCAGAGTGCAGGCACTCTACTTCTCACCTCCAGGACTCCTTCAGAGTGCAGGCCACTGTACTCTCACATCCAGGACTCCTTCAGGTGCCAACACAGACTTCTCACATCCTGGACTTCCTTCGAGTGCAGGCTACTCTACGCTCCTCACCTCCAGGACTTCCTTTCAGAGTGCAGACACTGTACTTCTCACCTCCAGGACTCCTTCAGAGTGCAGACACTGTACTTCTCACCTCCAGGACTCCTTCAGAGTGCAGGCACTCTACTTCGCTCCTCCAGGACTCCTTCAGAGTGCAGCACTGTACTTCTCACTCCAGGAAACTCTTAGGAGAGCAGGCACTCTACTTCTCGCCATCCATGGATCCTTCAGAGTGTGCAGTCACTGTACTTCTCACATCCAGGACTCCTTCAGAGTGCAGGCACTCTACTTTCCACCTCAGACTCCTTCAGGGGCAGGCACTGTACTTCTCACCCTCTCAGGACTCCTGCAGAGTTGCAGGCACTCTACTTCTACCTCCATGGACTCCTTCAGAGTGCTGGCACTGCGACTTCTCACCTCCATGGATCCTTCAGAGTGCAGGCACTCTACTTCTCACTCCAGGACTCTTCTAGAGTGCAGGCACTCTATTCTCTCCTCCAGGACTCTTCAGAGTGCAGGCACTGATACTTCTCACTCAGGACTCCTTCGAGTGCAGGACACTCTACTTCTCACCTCCAGGACTTCCTTCAGAGTGCAGGCACTGTACTTTCTCACCTCCAGGACTCCTTCAGAGAGTGCAGCGCACTGTTAATTCCCATCCTCAAGGACTCCTCAGAGTGCAGACACCTCACGTCGACGGTCTCACCCTCCAGGACTCCTTCAGAGTGCAAGACACTGTACTTCTCACCTCCAGGAACTCCACTTCAGAGTGATAGACACTGTACTGTCTCACCCTCCAGGACTCCTTCAGAGTGCAGACACTGTACTTTGTCACCTCCAGGACTCCTTCAGAGTGCAGACACTGTACTTCTCACCTTCAGGACTCCTTCTGAGTGCAGACACTGTACTTCTCACCTTCAGGACTCCTTCAGAGTGAAGGCACTGTACTTCTCACCTCCAGGACTCCTTCAGAGTGCAGACACTGTACTTCTCACACTCCAGGATCAATCTTCAGAGTGCAGGCACTGTACTTCCCACATCCAGGACTCCTTCAGAGTGCAGACACTGTACTTCTCACCTCCAGGACTCCTTCAGAGTGCAGACACAGTACTTCTCACCTCCAGGACTCCTTCAGAGTGCAGGCACTGTACTTCTCACCTCCAGGACTCCTTCAGAGTGCAGGACACTGTTACTTCTCCACCTCACGACCTCCTTCCAGAGTTCAGACACTGGAACCTTCTCACCTTCCGACTCCTTAGCAGAGTTGCAGACACTGTTTTTTAACTTCTTCACCTTCAGGATCTTCAGTGTGCAGGACACTGTACTTCTCACCTTCAGGACTCCTTCAGAGTGCAGACACTGTACTTCTCACCTTCAGGACTCCTTCAGAGTGCAGACACTGTACTTCTCACCTTCAGGACTCCTTCAGAGTGCAGGACACTGTACTTTCACCTCCAGGGACTCCTTCTAGTGTTGACACTGTACTTCTCACCTCCTAGACTCCTTCAGAGTTAGACATGTAGACTTCTCCTCCTCCAGGACTTCCTTCAGAGTGCAGCATTACTTCTCACTCCAGGTCTCCGTCAGAGTTGTCAGACACTTTTACTTTCAACCATACAGAGACTCTTCAGAGTGCAGGGCAATTACTTCTCCACCTCCAGGACTCCTTCAGGTGCATGCACTATACTTCTCACCATCCAGGACTCTTTAGAGTCAGGCACTCTGCTTCACCTCCAGGCTCTCCTTCAGAGTGCTGGGCACTCTTACTTCTCACCTTCCAGGGACCCCCTCCTTTTTTTCTTTCTCTTCTCAGTTTTTTTTCTCAGGTTTCCTTCTTCAGTTTTTCTCCTCTTTCTTTTTTCTTATCTCAGAGTGCAGGCACTCTACTTCCACCGCCAGGACTCCATTCAGAGGTGCAGGCACTGTACTCTCACCTCCAGGTCTCCTTCGAGTGCAGGCACTCTACTGCTCACCTCCAGGACTACTTCAGAGTGCAGGCCCCTGTACTTCTCACCTCCAGGACTCCTTTCAGAGTGTCCGATGCATCTTGTATCTTTCCCACCTCCAGGACTCCTTCAGGTGCAGAACACTTGATACTTCTAACATACAGGATCCTTCAGAGGCAGACACTGTACTTCTCACCTCCAGGACTCCTTCAGAGTGTAGACACTGTACTTTCTCAAATCCAGGACTCATTCGAGATGCAGACACTGTATTCTCACATTCCAGGACTCCTTCAGCGGCAGACATGTACTTCTCACCTTCAGGATCCTTCTGTAGTGCAGACACTGTACTTCTCACTTCAGGACTCTCCTTTCAGAGTGAAGGCACTGTACTTTCTCACCTCCAGGGGACTACTCAGAGTGCAGACACTGTACTCTCACCTCCAGGACTCCTGCAGAGTGCAAGGCACTGTACTTCCCTCATCCGGATCCTTCAGAGTGCAGACACTGTACTTCTCACCTTCAGGACTCCTTCAGAGTGCAGACACTGTACTTCTCACCTTCAGGACTCCTTCAGGAGTGCAGGCACTGTAACTTCTCGCACCTTCAGGACTCCTTCAGAGTGCAGGACCCTATAATTATCACCTTCAGGACTCCTTTCAGAGTTGCAGGCACTGTTACTTCTCACCGTAAGGACTACTTCAGAGTGCGGACTTCTGTACTTCTCACCTTCAGGACTCATTCAGATGAGTGCAGCACTGTACTTCTCACCTCAGGGGACATCCTTCAGGTGCAGGGCACTCTACTTCTCACCTCCAGACTCATTCATGAGTGCAGGCACTGTACTTCTCACCTCCAGGACTCACTTCAGAGGTGCAGGCACTCTACTTTCACTCCAGGACTCCTTCAGAGTGCAATGGCCACTGTACTTCTTCACCCCAGGACTCATTAAGAGTGCAGGCACTCTTACTTCTTACCTCCAGGACTCCTTCAGAGTGCAGGAATGTACTTTTCTCACCTCCAGGACTCCTTCAGAGTGCAGGCACTCTACTTCTCACCTCCAGGACTCCTTCAGAGTGCAGGCACTCTACTTCTCACCTCCAGGACTCCTTCAGAGTGCAGACACTGTACTTCTCACCTCCAGGACTCCTTCAGAGTGCAGACACTGTACTTCACACCTCCAGACTCCTTAGAGTGCAGGGCACTCTACTTCTCACCTCAGGGAATCCTTCAGAGTGCATGGCACCCCCCCCCCCCCCCGCCCCCCCCCACCCCCCACGCTTCTCACCTCCAGGGACTCCTCAGTGTGCAGGCACTATACTTCTCACTCCAGGACTCCTTCCAGAGTTGGGCAGTCGCTGTAATTCTCAACTCCAGGACTCCGTCAGAGGCATGCACATCACTTCTCACCTCCAGGACTCCTTCTGAGTGCAGGCACTTGTACTTCTCACCTCCAGGAACTCTCCTTCAGAGTGAGGACTCTACTTCTCACCCTCCCAGGACTCTTCAGAGTGCAGGCACTCTACTTCTCACCTCCAGGACTCCTTCAGAGTGCAGGCACTCTACTTCTCACCTCCAGGACTCCTTCAGAGTGCAGGCACTCTACTTCTCACCCCAGGACTCCTTCGAAGTGCAGGCAACTATACTTTCACCTCAGGACTCCTTCAGGTGCTAAGGGGGACTCTTACTTCATTCACCTCCAGGACTCTTCACGATAGCAGGCACTCTATTCTCACCTCCAGAATCCTTCAGAGGTGTAGGACACTGTACTTCTCACCTCAGGACTCATTCAGAGTGCAGACAAATGTACTTCTCACCTCCAGGACTCCTGAAGAGTGCAGACTGACTGTACTTTCTCAATCCAGGGGACTCCTTCAGAGTGCAGGACACTCTACTTCTCACCTCAGGATCCTCGAGTGCAGGCACTCTACTTCTCACCTCAGGACTCCTCTTCAGAGTGCAGGCACTCTACTTCTCCCTCCAGACTCTTCAGAAAGTGCAGGCCCTCTTCTTCTTCACCTCCAGGGACTCCTTCAGAGTGCAGGATCTACAGATAGACTCTCTCACCTCCAGGGTCTCCTTCAGAGTCAGGCATGTACTTCTCACCTCCAGGGACTCTTCAGAGTGCAGGCACTCTTACTTCTCACCTCCAGGACTCCTTCAGAGTGCAGGCACTGTACTTCTCACCTCCAGGACTCCTTCAGAGTGCAGGAACTGTACTTCCACCTCCAGGGCTCTTCAGAGTGGCTAGGACACTTTGTACTTCTCACCTCCTGGATCCTTCAGAGTGCAGACACTGTACTCTCACCTCCAGGACTCCTTCAGAGTAGTGAGACACTGTACTTCTCTGCCTCCAGGATCCTTCTGAGTGCGACATCTGTACTTCTCACCTCCAGGACTCCTTCAGAGTGCGACACTGTAATTCTCACCTTAGGATCCTTCTGAGTGCAGGACTACTGTTCTTCTCACCTTCCAGGCACTCCTTCAGAGTGAAGGCACTGTACCTTCTTCACTCCAGGACTCCTTCACCCTGAGTGCGACACTGTATTCTCACCTCCTGGACTCCTTCAGAGTGGCAGGCACTGGTAAAACTTCCCACATCCTGGACTCCTTCAGAGTGCAGGACTCTGTACTTTCACCTCCAGGAACTCCTTCAGAGTGCAGGACACAGTTCTTCTCACCTCCAGGACTCCTTCAGAGTGCAGGCACTGTACTTCTCACCTCCAGGACTCCTTCAGAGTGCAGACACTGTACTTCTCACCTCCAGGACTCCTTCAGAGTGCAGACACTGAACTTCTCACCTTCAGGACTCCTTCAGAGTGCAGACACTGTTATCTTCCTCTACCTCAGGACTCCTTCAGTAGTGCAGACACTGTACTTTCCTTCAGGATCCTTCAGAGTGCTGACAATGTACTCTCACCTCAGGATCTACTTCAGAGTGCACGACACTGTACTTCTCACCTTCATGGACTCCTTCAGAGGGCCTCAGACACTTGATTTCTCACCTCCAGGACTCCTTCAGAGTGCAGACACTGTACTTCTCACCTCCAGGACTCCTTCAGAGTGTAGACACTGTACTTCTCACCTCCAGGACTCCTTCAGAGTGCAGACACTGTACTTCTCACCTCCAGGACTCCTTCAGAGTGCAGACACAGTACTTCTCACCTCCAGGACTCCTTCAGAGTGCAGGCCACTCTACTTCTCCCTCCAGGACTTCCTTCAGAGTGCATGGGCACTCTACTTACTCACCTCCAGGACTCTCTTTCAGAGAGCAGGTCACTTAATTCTCACCTCCAGGACTCCTTCAGAGTGCAGGCACTCTACTTCTCACCTCCAGGACTCCTTCAGAGTGCAGGCACTCTACTTCTCACCTCCAGGACTCCTTCAGAGTGCAGGCACTGTACTTCTCACCTCCAGGACTCCTTTCAGAGTGCAGCGACTCTCTACTTCTCACCTCAAGGACTCCTTCAGAGTGCAGGC